AGAAGTTGATCCATTGAATTGGGATCGAACCTGAAAATTAAAACATTAACATTTGTTAGTATGTGTTTGAGGATTCAAAAACATCATACCTTAAAGTCTTGGGATGATATTTTTTTTTGAAAAGATTTTTCTTGTGGAGCTTGTCTTGCCATGACAAACATGAAAATTTGAATTGGTTATTTCTATGTTGGGTCTTTACATCTTTGTCCTTTTTAAGAGAACCTGCAACACACATTATGCATTTTATGTCATGGTCCTGTTTATGCCTAAAATGTGTGCAATTATGCATTTATTTTTAAGGTATTTCTTTTCAAACGAGAATATTTTGTTAACGGCCTTGTCCTTCAGTTTGATTTGGGCACGAAAAATCAATCAACATTCCATCTCAATCAATAACCCTGATTAGACACTCTTTGGTTGAGCTTGACTCTGATTCTCTTTACTCTTTGAATCCATGTGCTTCTCATGACCCGCTATTTAATCAGTGACAAAACCTCTTGGTTATCCCACATTGTTGAGTATTCAAGTATATCCCAAGGCTTTAAATTCTTGTGGTATGACATTGCATAAGCCTTATGCTAAAACCATTTTCGGCTTCAGAATATCTGTATTTTCCAAAACTTTTTGTACAATAATGCACAATGACCTCATGTTTCCCGAGTTAAACTACATTTTTATTTTCAATAAGTATGATTGCAACGTGGTTAAAAACATCTTTTTTATTTAAATAAAGAGTTTTTAATTTCTTTCACCGTCTTTCAGTATAGAAAAAGACTTGAAGAGCAGATATTTGTTGGTAATCTTTAAATCGAACCATAAAGTCAAAGGAAATGGTATCTTGAAGCCGAAATGTATCTTTCGGTTTCATTTTGTTTCTTTTTCTGGCAACTTTCCATGTTGAATGAAGCGAAAGAGTTTGACCATAAATGGCCGACATAGCACCTTTGTTTGTTTTTTCCCCTACTTCACTTTCTCTCCGCTTGGTAACGTGTCTTCTCTCTATCACTATCTCTCTGTTAAACAATGTATAAATACATTCAGAACCTCCCCATGCACGAATTCTGAATTTACACCATTCTCAAGCCAACCTTTACGGGTTTTCAACATGAGACCTTTTCTGGTTTCAAGACGCCCTTTACAGGTTTTTATCTTGAACCCTTCTTTTATTTTTCTTTTCCTTTTTCCTCATTTTTTTTTTTTTTCATTTTTTTCCATTCATTTTTCCATTCATTTTTTCAGGCGAAATACTTCTTGACTGCATCAGTATTCACAAGGTTAGATAACTCTGGTCCATCCATCTCGGTGAGGATCAAAGCTCCTCCAGAAAATGTCTTCTTTACCACATAAGGTCCTTCCCAATTTGGCATCCATTTTCCTCGAAAGTCTTTCTGAATTGACAAAATCTTTCTTAGCACCAAGTCTCCTTCTTGAAACTCTCGTGGATAAACCTTTTTATTATGTGTCCTTATCATACGTCTCTGGTACATTTGCCCATGACAGATAGCTTTTAATCTTTTTCCTCAATCGGGTTCAATTGATCATACCTAGCTTGCACCCATTCTGCTTCATCTAACTTAACCTCTGACAGCACTCGTAGTGACGGAATCTCAACCTCGATGGGTAACACAACCTCCATACCATAAACTAAAGAAAATGGAGTTGCCCCAGTAGATGTCCTCACTGAAGTTCGATAGGCAAACAGAGCGAATGGTAACTTCTCATGCCAATCTCTATAAGTCTCAGTCATTTTCTGTATGAGCCTCTTGATGTTCTTATTGGCTGCCTCTACCGCTCCATTCATCTTTGGGCGATAAGTGGTGGAATTATGATGTTTAATTTGGAATTGTTTACATACTGACTCCATCATCTTATTATTTAAATTCAAGGCATTGTCAGTGACAATCATTTCTGGTAGCCCATACCGACAAATAATTTCTCTCTTCAAGAACTTGCAAACTGTTGACTGAGTGACATTTGCATAGGATGCCGCTTCTACCCACTTAGTGAAATAGTCTATTACCACAAATATGAAACGATGGCCATTAGAAGCTTTGGGTGAAATTTTCCCAATGACATCCATGTCCCACATAGAGAATGGCCACGGAGCATTCATTACATGTAATGGATGAGGAGGGGTGTGGAGCTTATCTCCATAAATCTGGCATTTGTGACATTTTCTGGAGAAAATGATACAATCAGTTTCCAGAGTTGACCAATAATATCCAAATCTCATTATTTGTTTAGCCATTACATGTCCATTAGCATAGGTACCACATACTCCTTCATGCACCTCTTCAATGATTGTTATGGCTTCTTTGGCATCCACACACCGTAACAAGACTTGATCATGATTTTTCTTGTACAAGACCTCACCATCAAGCACATATCATGCCGCCATTCTTCGAATAGTTCTTTTGTCATTCTCAATGGCATGCTTAGGGTAGCTTTGATTTTTAATATATTGCAGGATATCGTAATACCAGGGATTTCTATCCTCTTCCTCTTCTATGCTATAGCAATGGGCTGGATACCCGTAAGCTTCCATCGTAATAGGCATCATGCTTGAATATTCATTGACTTTGAAAGCTGCTGCCAAAGTGGCCAGAGCATCCGCCATTTGATTCTCTTCTCTGAGGAGATAATGAAATATCACCCTCTCGAATTCTTTAATGAGCTCTAAGACCAACTTCCGGTATTGCACCAACTTCGTATCTTTTGTTTCCCATTCACCTCTGAGTTGATAAATTACCAGGGCTGAATCTCCATATACTTCGAGTATTTTCACTTTACGCTCAATGGCAGCTTTCAGACCCAGAATACATGCTTCATATTCGGCCATGTTATTTGTGCAATCAAAATTCAATCGGCTGGTGAAAGGATAGTGTTTTCCATAAGGTGAGATGAGAATTGCCCCAATCTCGTGCCCTAAAGCATTAGAGGCACCATCAAAATTCATCTTCCATTGTTCATTAGTAAAGGAAACTGCATTCTCTGTTGAAATAACCATTAAATCTTCGTCTGGAAAATCGAAGTTCAGTGGTTCATACTCTTCAGAAACCCTACTTGCAATGAAATCGGCCACAACACTTCCTTTAACTGCTTTTTGGCTTACATATTGGATATGAAATTCTGACAATAAGATTTGCCAATGAGCCAATCTTCCAGATAAAGCAGGTACATCCATTAGATATTTCAGAGGATCAAGTTTAGATATGAGCCAAGTAGAGTGATACAACATATATTGTCTGAGCCTTCGGGTAGTCCAAACTAAAGCACAACACAACTTTTTTATTGGTGAGTACCTTGTCTCGCAATCAGTAAACTTTTTGCTGAGGTAGTAAATTGCTCTTTCTCTTTTCTCAGTTTGATCATGCTTCCCTAATACGCACCCCATTGAATTCTCAAGATTGATTAATACTGGAGCATTCGACAATATCCTTTTATTGCTTCAAAAGCTCCCTGGCAATCATCATTCCATACCCCTGGGTTATTTTTACGGAGAAGGCGAAAAATGGGATTGCACTTCTTAGTTAATTACGAAATAAATCGGGCAATGTAGTTTAATCTTCCCAGAAATCCTCGAACTTCTTTTTGTGTTTGTGGGGGTGGTAAATCCTGAATAGCTTTGACCTTGTCAGGATCTACTTCAATCCCTTTTTTGCTTACTACAAACCCCAAGAGTTTTCCCGATGTTACCCCAAAGGTACACTTGCTTGGATTGAGTTTTAACTGGCAGTTCCTTAATATTTTGAAGAGTTTCCTCAGATTCTCGATGTGTTCTTCCTCCGTTTTAGCTTTAACAATCATATCATCGACATAGACCTCTATTTCCTTGTGCATCATATCGTGGAATAGTGTTACCATGGCCCTTTGATAGGTTACCCCTGCATTCTTTAGTCCGAACGGCATCACCTTGTAAAAGAACGTACCTCACATAGTGACAAACGTAGTTTTTTCCATATCATCTGGATGCATCTTTATTTTATTGTAACCTGAAAACCCATCCATAAATGAAAATAGAAAGTTTCCAGCTGTATTGTCCACCAGGGTGTCTATGTGTGGCAGAGGGAAATTATCTTTTGGACTGGCCCGATTAAGATCTCTGTAGTCGACGCACATGTGAACTTTTCCATCTTTTTTTGGTACTGGAACAACATTCGCTACCCATTCCGAATACTTGTTTACTTTTAGGAACCCATCATCAAATTGTTTCTTTACTTCTTCTTTAATTTTAAGTAACATTTCGGGTTGCATCCTTCTGAGCTTTTGTTGTACCGGTTTACATTCAGGCTTTATTGGCAATTTATGTACCACTAATTTAGTATTTTACCCTGGCATGTCCTCATACGACCAAGCGAACACATCTCTGTACTCTCGAAGCAGCTGAATCAGATTTTGTCGTCCCTCAGCAGATATGATGGTGCCAATCTTTATCTCCTTTTTATCATCCTCTGATCCTAGGTTCAAGATCTCAATGGGCTTTTCATGAGGCAGAATTTGTTTATCTTCTCTTTCTACCATTTTTAGTAGTTCAGAAGATAAGTGGCTTCCCTCATCACTATCATAACCTTCAATTTCCCCTTGACATATGGGCAACTCAAAATCTATCTTCAGGTCAGACATCAGCATTCATACTATGATATCGGAGGTCCTGAAAGAATAACGAACGAGAGGATATATAACATACAAATACAGGAAATCTATCCCATATCAAAATAGAATAAAATAATAATATATAAAAAAGAAATAAATAAAAGAATGTAAATGATGATATTTGCCATTTCGTGAATTAAGAGGAATGCATCATTTATTTAAAAAAACAGATAGATTAACCCATTACAAGAGATCACCTATTGCCTCAGGGTTTAAACAATAGGGAAAGTTTTTGTGCATTACTCTGAAATAGTTTTGTAAACTACAGGTAATTCTTCTGCAGTCCAATTGTTTAGCACAAAGCCTGGTGGTGCGGGATAGATGCCCATAGCCCTTCCATCTTCGATTCATTCCTCTGATATCACATTTATGCCCAAATCCTTCAGGGTATTTTCAATAACAGACTCTTTTGATGATCGACTCCCCTGAAACATATGACCCCCAGATATGAAGGTATCACGCAACAATGGGAAATTCATGGGTTCCCACTTAATATCTTCCCCGACTAACCTGGCTTTCCTCCTTTCCTGGCTCTTTTGAACATTTTTCAACTTTTCCTTTAAGGTCGGGTGATATCCCAGACCAAAACGATCTCGCTTAATACCAGGAAAAACTGGACTAATATTTCCTTGTAGACGGCTTCCCAGCCCTCTTCCAACCTTGGCTCCTCTTCCCATAGTCATTTTCAGTTCCATTTTGGTACAATTGGATAGCCTAGGCTTCGGAATTTTCTTTCTTTCGGCAACAAAGGTGGCATTAATGAATTCCAAGGCTCTGAAAGAGAACTCGACCGCATCTTCATCTATTTCGACATATGGAGCGGTAGTAGATATGGAAGCAATGATCTTCCTCAGCATTAAGGCATACCAGTCTCCCTCAATTACAAATTTGAGTTTCTGATGCAAATGGATGGCACAACTCCTGCCTGATGGATCCAAGGCCTTCCTAACAAGCAGTTATAGGAAGGCATTATATCCATTACAAGGAATTCGACCTCATAGGTTGATGACCAATGGTAAAGGAATATCGATCTTCCCCAGCACCTCTTCTTTGTTCCGTCAAAAGCTCGAACGATGCTTTGGCAATTTCTCATGTATGTACTATCAACGGTAGTTTTTTTCAATGTCATAATGGCATCACATTCAGGGCAGAGCCATTGTCGATTAGTCGCGATAACACTGTCCCTTGCACCTGATGGTAATGTGGCTCTTCTTTAGGATTGCCCATCATTCCGGACGGGATTTCATCAGAGAGAAGAGATGAAATTGTCTACTTGAATATTTGCAACCAACCGGTCTATCTTTTTCTACTGGCACATCTTTTGGCACAAATGTGATTCAAGACTTTCATCAAGGCATTTCGATGCCTCAGAGTTAATAGTAGAGCCAGGATTGAGATGCGAGCTGGCAACTTGTGTAGTTGCTCGACGATGTTGTACTCGCTATGCTTCAAAAATTTTAAAAACTCCACAGCTTCGTTCTCAGTTACAGGCTCATTAATTGTTGGCTCATCATCTTTCAGCTGTATCTCGACCTTTTTTCCTTTATCCGGGGTTGCTATTTTTTCGGGTTCATTTGTCGGATTAGGAGAATAACACCTCCCACTTCTGGTGAAGTGGCCTACCTCATCCACCTCTTCCTTGGCATCCTTTGAAACACCAACATCACCTAGATGGCACTCGTACCTCCAGGGGATCTGTTTGCTATCTTTATAGGGAAAGGACGACGGGGGTATGATCATCACTTTTGGGGTTATATTCTCTACTGTACGGGCTTTCGGTATAATAACCAAAGGGCAGTTGGAATTGTAGACTCCTTTGGATATACCCTCGGAAGCACAAATCTCTACCTCTTCCTCCTCCATAGCTTCATGGTAAAATTCCATGTCTTTACTATCCATCAGCCTTTGAACCAAAGCCTTAAACTCATCACAGTTTTGAATGACATGATCCTCACAACGGTGGTAGGGGCAAGCATGCTTATTCCCGTTAACATTAAAGGTCAACCAACCTATTTTGACCATTTGCCCCCATAACCAATGCATGGGTGATTTCACTTCATTGACTTTGGTTATGACTTTGTTCACTCTTTCTTCAATAACAACATTAACCCCTGTCCCTGCATGGTTCGGCAATGGGTTCTGAGCCACATTCGGCTGCTCACTATCACCGAAATTAATGATATTTCTTTGTCTTAATCTCTGCACCAACTTTTTAAAGGCCAGACAATTTTCAATTGAATGCCCCGATGCACCCGCATGATACTCACATTGAGCATTGATGTCAAACCATTTTGGGTAAGGAGGTTGTATTGGAGAAGTGTGGTAAGGTGATACCACATGTTTGTCATATAGGATCTGGAATAATTCTTTATAGGTCATGGGGATAGGGTCAAATTGAACCCTTTCTCTTTCCTGTCTTGGTTCTTTCACTCCTTGCTGGACAGGATTTAATGCTGACGACGCAGTGGCCGGTGGTCGAGATACTGTAATGTTATTAGAATCATATTTCTTCACATTACTGACCTCATTATCTTTTCTTCTCACTGGAGGCTTTCGGCTAGATTCTCCCCCATCTAGCTTCCCGCTTTTAATCGTCATCTCGATCATTTCTCCTGTATTAACTATGTCAGCAAAATTCTTGGACGAATTTCCAATGAGATGTCCAAAGAACGGGGCCCTCAGAGTATTTATAAAAACATATTGGTTTCTTCCTCTTCTAATGGTGGATGAACTTGTACAGCCACATCTCTCCACCTTTAGGCATATTGCCTGAAACAATCATTGGATCTTTTTTCCATACTCTGCAACAGAATTCGATTCGGCCTCACATCTTTTACGTGCTTATATTGCTCTAGAAAAGCCTTAGCCAAATCCTTCCAGGATTTAATCTGAGCTCGGCTTAGCTGATTGTACCAACGGATTGCTGAGCCTGCCAGGCTCTCTTGAAAACAATGAATTAATAGATGATCGTTTCCCACATAGCCTGTCATTTTTTTGCAAAATATGGTAATATGTGCAGAAGGACAACTGGTGCCATCAAATTTCTCGAAGTCTGGAACTTTGAACTTCGGTGGTAACACTAAATCATGGACCAGACTTAGCTCTCTAGCGTCAATTCCATATAAGCTAGCATCTTCTTTCATAGCTCGGAATTCATGCTTCATTTGTCCCCATTCTTTCTTAATCTCCTTATCATGTTCTTTTTTGTCTTCCTCATCCAAATCAGGGACATCTTCAATTGGTTGTGGGTTCGTGGAAGAACCAGGTAGGTTTACTTGTATTTTTTCGGTTGGATGGTCGTGGCTTGTTGTGTGTTGATATACGGTGGTGTGAAGCCAGGGGGATATAAAGGTTCCTCAGCAGCAGGACCGATAACTGGAGCCTCTCCTTGGACCACACTATTTATCTGTAGCAAACTAACCAAATTTGCCATCATGTCGTCTTGAGCCTTCATTATCTGTTCGCGCATTTCCTCTTGCGCTTTCTTTAAATTCTCTTGCATTTCAGCTTGAACCTTCTCTATATTGACAATTCTATCATCCATTGCCTTTTTTCGCGTGTTGTATGGATTCTTATAAGTGTCCAGTATTCTGCCACAATATTTTTTATTAATCATGATATTTTATTAATGAGGTGTGAAAAATGTGATTAGAATGTTATTCATAAAAGGAAATGCAATGTAGATGCAAGATGAATGCAATACAAGGTGTTGATTCTGGGACGATTCCTTAGAACAACTTTTTATATAGGAAACGAAGCTCAATTACAAGGATTAAACAGATCACAGATACAATAGAGCTATCTCTCCTAATTGTTGGATATGTCCCAGTAATTCCACTATCTTCTGGTTTTCTTCTGCCTCTGGATCCAGTTCTTCAATCACATTATCAGCTTCCTGTGACAGATCAACCAAGTGCTGAGCCACTCCTTGAGCTTGCTGTAGGTATCTTGCAATGAGATCCTCCCTTTGCTTAACTCTCCGTTGAGCCTGCTCCCAACGATAGCGCCATTGCATAACTCCTTCATAAGGGACCAATGTAAGTTCATTTGCTCTTCTTTGCAAATCTTGAACTAAGGCCTCGAGTTCATTCGCACGCTTCGTCAATCTTTCCACTTCAGCATGTGAACTACTTTCTCGACTTCGATATCGTTGCAAAACAGTCTCTAAGCTCAAGACCCTATTCTTTAATTTCTCATTCTGAGTCTGATTCTCTTGCAATTGTTGTTCAAGGGCATTTTTGTCTCTCAAGAGTAATTTGGCCTGATGTCTACTCCGTTTGAGTTCTTCACTGCTTTCCCCAACTTCTCTTTTCAGTCCTGCCACTTCTTGCCTCTATTCAGTAGAAGACTTACTAGAGTTAGCAGATGCCTGATCTTTGATCATTCGCTGGTGTGATAAATAGAGGTCATTGAAATCCAATCTAAGTTGCTTCTCCACTTTTTCAATCCGATCATCCCGACTCTTTTGGATGTCAGTCTCCAGCCCTTTCTGATACACTTCATCTTCTAGCTTTTACAAAGTTACTCTCCATTTTTTCCTTTCTGCCTCAAAATCAAGCCTGGCTTGCTCGAGCGGAGACGGGATCACCATGAGGTGTTCTTCCATAGATTGGATATTCTCTTGATTGCCTATTGGAATATTATCATTAACTCGGTTGCTTCTCCACTCCTCGTATCCTCGAGATAGCCTTGACTCAAAAGTAAAGAGATTTACCCGATGGGTGTGTCTCCAAGCATCAGTGACCCCTTTAACTTTATTCTTATACAGTTCTCCCCTGAATACAAACTCAGACTTAGATAACTCCCTTGTTGCCGGAATAAACTGTCTCGACCCAAATTGTTGGGAAACCAATAATGGGGGCATACCCTACAGATCCCCAAATACCAGGTAATAGAACCCAATCTCTATCTCCACATCGATACAATATGTCAGATGAGACATTCCATGAGGTACGCCATAATATGTCACTGTCTCGGATACTTTTGAAAATGATCATCCACTTTTCCTCAGTAAAACCCCTAGGCCACTACCTAGAAATGAAATCCTTCAACGGTGAAAACCCATTTAAGAAGACCCGACCAGGTGCTCTCTCGACGTGTTTGAAATGACTAAGGATCCAGGTTAACAATAATGGTGCACAACCTATGAATCGTCCTTCCCCTTCTCGTCGGCAAGAGCTCAGGGAACGAAATGTTTCTGCCAGAATAGCTGGAACAGGATCCACATGTCTATCCAATCTTTCGAACAGGTCTACCACTGATACATCAATATGCCCGAGAACTCTCGGGAAAATAACCAATCCATAGATACCTAGAGCAAAGAAGTCAATCTTTTTTCTTCGATCAGTATGACAGTCAATCAAATCTCTCATAAGGGTCCAAGTAACGCATTCGCGGTCTCCTTTCTTTTTTATGCCTCTCATAACCCATTCTTCACTCATGCCAGTCATCAGAATAAGTTTCTTCTTAAATGAAGGAGTATTTGGGGGTTTGGTATATACTTTGTCTACTTGGAACCTCGGACAGCGAATCAAGGCACGATACTCCTCTATAGTAGGTGTCATGTCTACTCGGCCAAATGTAAAACAGCTATAAGCGGGATTCCAAAACTGAGCTAGAGCTCTAAACAAATTCCGATCAATCGGGATATCAAGGAGATATGAAATGTCACCATGGAGTTGATAGAACAATTGCTTATCGGACGCTTCCCATCTTCCCCAAATCTCTTTCAGTTCGTTCAGATCATTCTGACAAACGTTGATGTGAGTATACCCTCTCAGCTCTGATATATACCCTGGTGATAAACTGTCTCCATTTGTTAGTTGAGACTGCTCGGACCATATCAAGACGTCTGTATTGTCCTCTACTTTTTGAATCATTCGTTCCATAATACTAGTCTTCTATATGGACATCAGTCATGGTTCAACACCAATGAAATGAATAGTGCAATGCAAGATGAGGATAAAGTAAACAAAAAGAAAGAAAATCGGTCAGTAATCATAAATGAATTGACTAAACATAAATCAATTTATCGATAAAACCTACCCTACATGTTAGCTACCCAATCATGCTTTAGTAGATTCTACCCAGTCATGATTTCTACCCATATGCTTTTGTTATTCACAAAAATCCTAACCGCATGATATCTAATTCACATGTTTGTTCAGGAAAATAATCCTAACCGCCTGATTTCTAGTTCGCATACATTTATTCAAAAAGTGAAAATAAATGACTCAAAAACTTTTCCTTGTGTACCCTCCTCACGAGACTCCTAAGTTTCAAGTCAGACTCGACCTAAATTTGGGCTCTATGTTCACTATATGCTGGGTTCGGTTCTAAAGTAAAGGGTCCTCGAATTGTCCTTTACCGGTGCCCCCTTGGGCTACCGAACCCTCAATCCTAGCCCATCACAGGCTTTCGGATTGAGTTCAATTTGAGGGGACACACTTCCTTATGTCATTGCAGAGGTGAAAACCTCCCGAGGATCATAAGGCGTGAGCCCAAGGAGCATTTCACTATCCCGCACGGAGGTGAAAACCACACGAGGGATTAGTTACTTTCTCCTACTTAAATAGGACGGAGCGGGGTTTTAACTCATGTTATGCGAATGCAGTTATGCAGTGTGTGAGGAAAAGCGAAACAAAGCAAACAACACTAAACATAAAACTCAAGACCCTGAACAATTATTTAATCTGACAACATTAGCAAACAGATCAGTACAACTATTTAGTGGTTAAGCAAATTAAGAGTCAAAAAGCAAACAAAACTTATTTAAAACAAAACAAGGGATCAAAAACCAAATTAGAACGAACTTGTATTTTTTATTTGCAAAGACAATTAATTAATCAATTATTGGCCTGACTCTCTAAAAAAAGTCCCCAGCGGAGTCGCCAAGCTGTCGAAACGATTTTTTTCCCGTGTGAGATTTTGGAAACCACACTAATTTTTAATTATTCTCTTCAGATTAAATTTAAATTAAAAGTGAATGTGATTAAAAAAAACCTCTCGTTTCGAAAATTTGGAAATTCCTTTATGATAAAAATACGGTTCGAGGAGTCGCCACCAATCTTTAATTAAGGTGTGATTGGGCACCCAAAAACGTTTTTTCATTTTAAATAAAAATTAATTTTAATTAAAACAACAAATTTAGGTCCGCGTTACCAGAAAATGAGTTCGGGAGTCGGTTACGCGTAGGGAATGATTAGCACCCCCACAACGCCCTAAATCGGTACCTAATCGATTAATTAATTGTCTTTGCAATAAAATGTACAAGTTCAAAATTAATTTGATTTATGATCCCCTAAAATAATATTTTTCAAAATTTTGGATGAAAGAATAATAATATTTAATTATTTCCTATCGAGAAGAAATGATCTATCATACCTTGAAGCAATCAATTCTTACTCCAATCGAAATAAAAAATATTAAAATTTCATTCTAAATTTCAAAGTAATAACACCCAAAATAATTTTTAGAGATAAAATAATAATATTTAATTATTTATAATCGAACATTATTATTTTGAAAATCCTTTAAAAACACATGGAAAAGTAAAAAAAAACTATCAAGCAATTGATTAATTATTTATTTACTAATAT